CAACTTCGAACCAACCGATTGGCGATCTACACCTTCACCCATACAAATCATGATTTCAAAATGAGCGAGATAATCTTGTTATGAGGTCCATATTTACCATCTCCACTAAAGGATATGTGTATTTTGTGGTAAAATATTAGGCTTCCTGATGCTCGACTTTCACTTGATGACAATTCGGACACTTGGCCACAAAGTCTGCGACGTTCTTTTTCATGTCGTTCCACCAATAAATCTCCTTAAGATCATGATACATCTTTGAGGAACCTGGGTGGATAGAACGCCTAGAATTATGGGCTTCTAACATGATCCTCCTTCTCTAAGTCCATCTATGTCTGGGACACACAATCCTTCTTGGTACCTCAAAGTACCATCACCCCCCCCCCCTCCTTGTTCAAAAGCCATCGCCTTATGCTTGTGAATCCATTTTTTCAGCTGCAACAAGTAGGTATCATCAAACTATTTCTCCTTCATTTCTTCTACTAAGGAGGAACTAGTCCTGTTTTGGACAATAACTCCACCATCTTCGGAGTCCAAAAGTCAAACTCTTAGCTTGGCTAAGCGGTGAACTTCTTTTACTATAGTTCTCTTGTCTGCCTTAATCATGAGCTATACTTCCCATCCTTGATTGTCTTTTTAAGATACTTCCTTAAAAAGGCTTATAGTATTGATGTGAGCTAAGTCTTTGACTAGTACACCGAATATTAGAGTCTCATGTAGTGGCACTACCCTCATGACGCATAACAGGGCATGATTTTATAGTTTTTATATCCATGCTAACTATGTGGGTTTCAAATCTCCAACTGGACTTACTGACGATTTTCTCATCTCCCCCTTAGACCAAAGGTTAAGGTCTTGCACTTGCGGATCCTTCTCTTTTGTTGGGATCCGGATAATTTTCCTTATTTTCTGTAATTCTTTGCACTTTACGTCAATGAGGACTCATCTTCCGACTTACTCTGAGTAATCTTTTCTTACTAGGAAAAACTAAATTACTTACATAGACAGAAAGCTAATCTATTCACAACTATCAAACACAATCTTAAGGATTTAACTCTGCTCACACTGTCAATCTTGGGGAAACCCCTTTTCGGTAACTCTTAAAGACTATCTTCTGTAGTTTGCTATCTTACTGCCTAGCTAAATTTTTTTTTCTTCCACTGTCATTGTACTTCGGGTTTAACTTAAACTCTTTGGGTTCTAACACGCGTTCGGTGTTCCAAACTATTACCTACTCACTAGTGTTAACCTATCTAAGTAAATCAAACGGTACCTCTACTAGCTCTACTGAAATTGCAAATTCATGGTATCTACTCAAAACTTACTTACTATTGTTTTACTAACCACCTGCTAGCATTATATTTTCTTGTTCTGCTTTGAATAACTAAAGTGAAGCATAAGGTTATTCCTAACTTCGCTCATCATCTGACCCTACTCTACAGTCGCATTCTATCTTCTTCTAATTTTAAACTATGTACACGGATCACACTTAGGGAAATTTCATTTGTCTTAAATTAAATTGGAATACCTAACCCTAATATTTCTATATACTTCATATTATACCAGACTATAAACATCCGGGATAAACACTTAGTCACAAAACCTATGGGGGAACTATCATATCTTTTATCTCACAATATAGTTGCTTCATATAGTAGATTACTAACGTGATACTTTTTAATTATGATTTGAATATATCTGAACAACTTAAAATCATTCCCTGAAATTCAATATCGGCTGCTCTTGGCTCTAATTTCGTACATCACATATTCTTAGTTATTTGCATGAATCGTACGAAAGACACATATTTGGTAATATCAAATGTTCCTGACTCCTAGGTATTTTTCCTTTAGGCTCTTTTCTGTCCAAAACTATAGTGATCAATTCTATTCATAATGCAGCTAAATTCTTAACTTGTTACACCATGGGGTCTGACATCAGAACTATCAACATCCAACATGTGGCTCCATTTCCAAGAATTAAAACGAAATTGTTCTTTGAGGTAAAACACATATAGTTACACTACCATACACAAACTTGTCCTCTATAGAATACCATCATCTGATAAATCACTTCATGCACCATCCGGTGACTCTTGGGTCTTAATCCTGACCTAAAACATGCAAAGATATTGCTATAATCACTATTACTTACATTTTCTTTTAGCACCCATATGCATCATTGTATACTCACAAGTCACCAAAATTTGGATACACTGAAAATTGGAGATTTGGTAACTAAATAACTGAATATTGGCGTACTGAATAACCATAAATATACTAACTGAAAGACTATATAACTGGTAATTGAAGTAAACTGATAACCATAAAACATGATAACTGCTTTTGTATTTTCTGATAAGGTTATGCTCTAGTCTGTACTACTATCCATTGTATCCCACTTTCAACATCCTCTCCAACTCTCATTTGTTACCAACCTGTACTCCATAATTATACCCCAATAGGCAATCATTCTCTCTAGCATGTTGGGTTTTTCCTGCTCGTCGCTTGGGCATTTGATATGTCAGGAATTCAATAGGAAGAAAAGGTTATCTATTTCTCTAAGCTTCATGGCACAATCTAGTAGAGTGGAAAGAAATGAGATAATTCTAAATGTCTTGGTAGTTAACCGATTATATGCATAGTCGGCACACACATATAAAAGAAACTCCACTAGACACAGCTTCAAAGACTCCCTAGGACAGTTGAAGCTAGTGCTCTGATACCAAGCTTTGTCACGCCCCGAACATAGGCCTAGACATAACACGGCAGCCTAGACATTACACGACAATCGGTGCCTGACTACATGTGACCGAGCAAACCAACTGTTGACTGAATCAACATGTGATATAATAACATACTGAATGCGGAAGCTAAACTAACACATGCTGATATACTAAAAGTCTGAATGATATAAATCAAAGTTCGAAAACACTAATATAAGTATGAAACATATTTGAAGCCAATATTGCTTAACATGAAAATCATGCGACTCTATCTAATTGTTACTCTAGTCTATGAAGCCTCCAATGAAGTACTGAAAATACTAACTATCTGTAAATACTAAAAGACTGCAAAGTAATGATAATGCCCTGAAAGAACTGGGGCTCACTAAATAGCTGGTACGAGAATCCTAGTGCTCTGAATCGTCAACCTGTACATCATCACATGTATCGTGAGATACAGGCCCCGAAAAAAGGGACCTCATTACATTTGAATTGCACTGGTATGTAAAGCAAGTTGTTGACATCATTGGGTGCCATATCTATTTTTTACTTACTACAGAAAAACTTCAAAGTATGTTAGTAAAAGATGAATAGATTAAAGTAATACCATAATTGTCTAGACCACACGGTGGGCGCCAAACTGTTTACCTGTAAAATAGTACAGTTGAATTTGTAGCTTGGTTTATAGACACATGAATTAAATTGATCCGAAAAAATAAATTAATAAATATCAAAAGTGAGCAAAATAAGAATAATTGAAGAAAAGACAAGTGTGGGCTTTTGAATTGATCTCTCCGGAGACAAGAACAATGCTAAAAACTTAATATTAGCATTATAGAGTTTTTGCAAAATAAGAGAATAGTATTAGCCTTTTTTCATACAAGTATTTTGTTTTCTTCAATGAGTACAAATTTCTTTATTTATAGCTAAATTAGGGGAGACAAGATCCCTAGATCATGCTCTTCTTTAAGGTGAATAAAGACCCCTCTTAATAGCTGCATAATGGTTGAGAGTAAATGCTATAATTCTCTGTAACGATTGCTCATTTAATGATGTCTTCTTCAGCTGGTGCCCTGCTTTCGCATCTTCTTCTCCGGTTTTGATGCATTTGGAGCTTATCCAACACCGATTGTATGGTTGTACCCGGTGTCAGTTATTTACTAACTCACCTCCTACCTGTCTTTACTATCATGTATCAACTTGAAGAACATCCGCATGTCGTCTATTAGTTTTACCCAATACACCTCCATCCGTGCATCTCTTACACCACAAAAAAGTGTGGTATTTTTCCTTTATGAAGCATCCATTTGAAAATTTTTAGTAACTTTTCCAATTAAACTTCTTTTATGTTATTTAATCTGAATGATATAACCCTCTCTAAATAAATTTAATTTTTTTGTTCATGAATTATGTTATCAATTTGCTGCATCGCATTAACTCGTTATCGTTTTTTTCATTTTATTTTGTTCATCGGTTGTTTTTTGGTCTTTTTGTAAATTAAATAACATACCCTATCCTTTTTCTTTTTAAAATAGTTGATATGTTCTTTAATATCTTATCTTTACATATTGTTCATTTACTACATATAATATTATTTTTCATTTAATTAACGATATGCGCATAAACCAAAAGGAACATGTATAAATGATGTTTTCTACTTAATAATTTGATTTCCACATACAACATGCGTGCGTAATAACTAGTATAGTATTTTAAGAATATAACAAACAAACACTCATGTCCTAACAGTCCTGTACCTTGAGGCTAACGTCCTGCCTCACAACAAATTACACGTAGTGCCTTGCAAACTCTGACCTTTAATTAAGCACTAGTTTTTCATTAAATGTTTGAAACATTTGGAGGAAAACACCAAAAACATTTTAGCTAAATTATCTAAAAGTGAAAAAAGGAATATAATTTTGAAATGCTAAAACTAAATCTTACAAGGCAAAAAATTGATTAATCTAGCATCTCAAACGTTGTACTCCAACTTGTACAACAATAAAAAGATTATCTCTAGAATACTCGTAGAAAAATCAGACTTTGTTGGGGCTTGGTGTGAGTAGACTGAGCTGATAATAAGGCCATCATATGCATATTCTGGGCGAATAAGTCTTGTTGATGGCAATGAACAGTTTCTAAGGATCCTAAATGAATGGCAGCCAACAAAAGATATAGAAGCTCACAAGATATGTCAAAGATTAATGTTCTTCAAAGTGCATCGTGAGAAGGTAACAATGAACGACATGACAGTTGCAAACATATCAAAATAATGTACAAAATACAGTATAAACATTTAACTTGTCCCAGTCTGAAAACACACCAATTTGCACATTATCTGGATCAAGTTCAATCATACATCACTGTATTTTCACAAACAAACATCACAACAGTAATCCAAACACACTGCAACATCACAGCCCCGATTGACAGGGTCTTCATCATCTTATCCAAAATATGTTTATTTATCCTACAAGTGCTGAAAATTAAAGTGCATTAAGGAGCGCCTCTTTACCATCCATGTCGCTCGATAGCAATAGAATAATAAGAGGCAGCCTTAACGCTAGCCAAGGATGAACTGCCCCATTGATAGCCAAGGATGAATGCCTTCAAGCAACCAAATGCTGGTAAGATCAAATTCCAATGCATTTGCATTAGGTTGCAGCAAGGACGAGGTCAGGCACAACTCGTGACACCTAACCCCGTTCTCAGCCAAGGCTATCAAACTTTGAGGTTGCAGCAGCTATCTGCTGCTGAAACCCACTTACCGGCCATGAGAATACCATGTCCAGTATTCATCATGTCAGGTATTGCCTGGACCGAAGGTCTCAGGTCCTGAAACAGAAAAGGATCAAGATTTCCCCTAGAGTACATGTTAGTGACCTCTGACAAATGGCAGAACCTGCTGCCAGTAGTTTCTTTAGGTGAGCTTAAATTGCTACTATCAGACTGCAGCACTTCAGAATTCTGGGATCCAGTGGGGTAAAAACTGTGAACGTCACCAGTCTTAACTGTATCGTTGGTTTTTCCACCCTTCATAGTTCCATTCATTTTCCTTGTGTTCAAGAAGCGTCCACCACAGCCCCTAGGTCGGCGCATTGCATGGAGATGGCGAGAGAGGTGCAAGTATGGCTGTAAGTATTAAGCAGTCAAAATTCAGCAACCACAGCAACCCCAACATTGACAAGGAATGTGGTCAAGAGTTAAAGTATTACATGAAAATTCATAGCTTGTGAAACATTGAAAACTGGACACAGAATAAATATCTGACCATTTTCACAAAGAACTTTTGTTCCGCTACTGCCCACAGGGTGTGTGTATAGGGATGACAGAACATAAAGGAAAATGGCTGGAGTAGGGAGGTAACTGTTGGCTAAAATTTTGTATCAGAAGCCAGGACTGCTGCTCTTCATTTAAAAACTTTCTTTGAATATTATCCGTATCATGCATATTATGCGTGGTGGTCTTAGAAATTAAAAAGAGTTGATGAAGATTAAATAAAATATCATGATGATATGTAGATCCACTGCCCATGATCGTAGAAATAAAACTTTACCTTGCGTGGTTTAAGAGCTTTCTTCTCCATTTCCTTAGCCCGGGACTTTCGACGCCTCAGTATCCCATGATACTGCTTGGCGTTTACAAAGATCGGGCCTTCATCAGAGGCCAAATTCAATGGAAGCATAACACGGCCCTGGAATGTTGAGAAGAGAAATTCTATGAATATCAGAGTCTCAAAATCATTCAGTTTGAAGGAGTCGTGATACAATATGCATGACGAAGGAGATCTCCAGAAATGAAGCACAAAAGAGAGTTAAGAATAAATGACACTACAAATGCCAATATTTTGAAGACATGTGTTTTCCGTTAATGCATGTCTACCAGTAATTATGCATTATTTCGAAACAAAATTTCAGGTTCCACCTTTTAATTTTGTTATTCCATCATTGTGCCTAATATTTTGAAACTGCTACTATTGTAAGATGATTTTCTGAATTAATCCAGGAAAGTAAGTTCAATCAGTTGACAAGTAACCCTTCCAATGTTATCAAGAACTGTGAAAACTTTCCTCCAGAGATAATTATCCTTTACCACTTCTCCAACTATACTTGACGTAATGAGCGAATAATCCCAGTCTTTTCTCCTTTACTCCTTTACTAATTAGTATAAGAACACCTTCATTTAGTAGATATCTCAATAGGTATTATAGAAAGCAATGAGCTAAGCATTACAAGGTTATGATGCAAACCAAAATACCATGTGAACAGAGTGACACAACATATTATACTCCTTTAATTATAGAGAAATGATAATTTAGCAACAGAGCTTGGTTGTCATTTATTCCTCTTTGTTATGCTTTCCTCTTCTTCTTATTACCCTTCCTGAGCCGAGGGTCTATTGGAAACAGCCTCTCTACCTGTTAGGTAGGGGTAAGGTCTGCGAACAGACTACCCTCCCCAGACCCCACCTGGCGGGAACATACTGGGTTTGTTGTTGTTGTTGTTGTTCAGAATCAAAATCATAGTGACAACATAATATACTGTGAAGATAGCAGATAAAAGCAATACAATTCCATCTGAATCAAACTGGCTTACCAGCTGAATGTTCAGCATCTGTGACACACCATATATAACATGACCGTTTCCTAGTGTTCTACCAAAACAATTAAAAAAATGTATAGTTAACCTAAATAGAGCTCGTCAAGGCACTGATGAAGAGGTCACTAACAAATAAGGACAATATTTTCTGGACAAAGAAAATACTTTGATCACAAGAACAGTTCTCGTCAAGATGGTGACCCTGGAATGGTCATTAGCAAATTATTAGAGGATCTCACCCATAGTTCCCAAGAAATAGCTATGCCCTACAGGTTGACAATTTGGAAGCAAATTTTTTGAGAATGAATTTGGAAGCAAACTTTTCTTTCCAAATTCAACTCAACGGGAGACAAATGTGATTCCAGTAATGTTTCTTTGCAAAATAAAATTATCGATCTTTAAATTTTTGACGCCTTTCATCTAATAAAGTATATCGTCAAACGCTGTACTTCCCCAACTAAAACAGGTACTCTTTACTTCAAATACAAAAGGTAAGTATGTTTTCATACAGTAAGGCGAATGAATCAAGTCATACAACAGTTTGTGCTTGGAACTTTCATAATTCCTTACAGTTGAGTTCATCTCCTCTATTAACAAGTAAAGCCATTCTCGTCTAAAACACCCTAAATCTCAATCATGAATGTTAGTTTTTAAGGTAGGGCAAGTAGCTGTAATTTGACTCACCATATTCACATGAAGAGTTTGTGCCCCATTCACGGTTGAGTTTTGTACATTGCGCTAATAAAGGAAGATTTCTCATATCAAATAGCTAAACTTACCAGATCCAACAGATAACTTTTAGCAATAAGAATTCTTGTTGCATGCTCGAGAGGTATTTAAAGGGCTCTCCTCTCTACTGACTCTGAACGCGCAAGGTCATGACCACAAAAATTAAAGTGAAAGAGATAAAGGCAAAACCCTTTGTTTGCAAGTACATAATAGGGGAACGATTCACGAAAAACCCCAAAAAGACCGACTGTAGTTGAGTGAAATGGAAAAAAACTTCTCTTTTAAAAGTCTTATCCTCCAAAATTGGATGGTAGAGTCAGTTTATTGGGAACCTATAAATACAGTGGAGCGACTTCTTACGCACTTTCATCTATTTAACGCTTACAAGCATGAGATGAATCTCTTCAGCCAAGAGAAATAGTGAGGTGAAAATTGGAGCCATTTTCTACAAACTCTCAGGTTATGGAATGTCTACGGAGGTGGCTTCTTCTATACATGAAGCACATTATAACATCTCTTTGTGAGAACAAACTTCATCATACCAATTATATCAGATGTTAAAAGTTACACCCATTTGTTACCATTAGTGCCCAACTTACAGTGCCATCTGGGCGACATCTTAGCCCAACCAGCATTTACATGCTTCTACAGACATTCAATTAAAAGGAGCGAATACGAGACCCAAGGACATTACTTTGCTCTTTATCAATCAATTGATCCAACTAACTTGCGAAATCAATGGGCATAAATCAAGATTTCTTGAGCCTTCTTGTGTCTTTTTCAACAAAAAAAAATATTGTCAACTTTGCTATTAGAAGCAGAAAGAACAATTTTGTCAACTTATCCAAATCAACCACATTAAGAGTCCAACCACGCTTACATATGATGTGCTAAACAAAATTTAGGCAATATTATCAATGATGGAAATATGATCACATACTCCGTCACATAGTTATTATTGATTACCATTGTAAGCTTGAAAAGATCTTACAAAGCTGAAGTTTGTTACTCCATCAAAGTAAGCTATGACAGCACAGCAGAAATGTCTACAGTAACAATGTTATTTCATTTTTAGGAGTATAACTAATTCCGAAGAAAGCATAAATTACCAAACCATCATAACTCTAGCGATTGGAAACTGGTGCTATGAGAAAGAAGCAGTACCGAAAGTTGAGGACCATAAGCTGAAAATAACCCGACGGATTGCTCTCCTCCGTAAGAATATTTTGCAGAGATCTACACCATTTAAGAACACATCAAATAAACAGAAGGAGTAAGCACAAAAATTGAGATTTATTGATGACATATGAGATTTTATGACGAATTTTTTTACCAGGGACTGACCAAACCCTAGCTCAAAGTGACTTCGATAGTCCATATTAGCTGAGGTAGCAGCAGCCTGAATGTTTGATAGGTTTTGCCCATATCCTGAAGATTTCCAATCACCTGAAGGAGATACTGTCAACATGTTCACGTGTGCTGTAAAAGATAAATCATCCCAAATTGAATATTTCACTACATAAAACTATGAAAATTTTTTGGTCAGTCCTCCTAAAGGTTTTGGCTTATTGTTAGTGACTGAAAAAGCACTACCAATTCTTTTTCTTTCTTGCCAAGTTCTGCATTTACAATAAATTCTAAGTTAAGAATTTTTTTACAAGAACTTTATCGACCAGAAGACAAATTTTCGGATTAACAATTGTAATCTCACGTTGGGCAAGAACTGAGTGTTTCATGAAAGAAAGAAAGCTGGCATATTGGTACTAAATATCATTTTGTCAGATAAATTAAGAAAGAATTGGATTTCAAGGCCACAATGCGAATGTTTTAACTAAGTCATTTAGATTGATGTTTCTTAAACAATAACTTCCGATCCTGTATCGCGATACAAACGGCAAGATAATCAAGTTCTGTTCAAGATGCATTCTTAAAAGTATTCGTTATCAAAAAGGAAAGATCTAAACTTCTCCTTACTATTAGAAATGCTTTGAGATTACCCTCCATTATACATTCAAGTCAGTGTTATTTCTTGTATTTGCTTTTGGTCCTAATGAAGCTCCAATGTAAATTGGTGAGCTTTGAACACATCAAACTTTTGACATAATGGATTCCACGAGTCAAAATACTTGAAGGAAAGATTCAAATTTATCCTCTACTTATGGGTTCGACAAAACCTAGTAGCTTTGGCACATATCTTGCAATTCATATTAAGAAAAACCACTTAATATGTATGAATAATTATCCAAAATTTAGTAAATTATTTTCTTGAATTCAGAATTCATAAACTTAAAGTTCTGGTTGTGTCTCTAATTAATTAAATAAATACAAAAGTAGAGTGGCAAATTTATACCATTTTCCGACACGTGGAATAAATTAAAAAGAAAAATGAGCCCCATAAATTGGCACAAGGGGTACAAGTTTTGCATAAAGATTAGTTTTTGTCTAGCCATTATTTAATCTCAACAACTTTGATACACATTAAATGATGCCATGAATTAGCTAAACTGCCATGTCTTTGTGTAAATAGCAATGTGAAAAGTAAAAGACTGTACAAGTACAACTATTGAAATAAGGACTCTCACAATAAACATTTCATACAGAATTGGTGATAGGACCAAGGCCTTCTTTATTGTGCTTTTGTTTTTTTTCCAATGTGGACATTTAATGTAAAGCTCAAACGGAGTAAGTAAAAGAAAAGATAGCTACTATGTTCAAACAAGAGGCTGCTACTTGTCTTTATGGCTAAGAAATGGTACATCAATGACAATATAAATAAAGTATTGAAAGCAAATTTTCAAAAGTCTTACCTAGCATGTTTCTGCCTCAAACAACCAACCAAATGATTGGAATCCAAGAAACAAGATAAATTTAACAACATTATTAAGTTGAAATAATAAAAAGAAATGGAGTATTAAGTTTTCAAAATATTAACAAAATAAAAAAAAAAAAAAAAAAAGCAATTAGTCAAAAGTCTTTTGCACACCAACTATTTAGATAAAATATTATGTTTGTTTAACATGCCAGATAAGAAGACAATATACCCAGGAAATTGCAAAATTTTATCAACAAGAAAGATCCTAAAAATTACAGAAAAGAAGGATAAATTGCAGAAGAAAGTACCAGAGAAAATAGTGAACTCAGTTGCATTCCCCTTTGGCAACTCAGAGTGTTCCACAGATGCAGATTTCAATTGGCCAAAAGGGTCAGACTGAGAGACAAGGCCACTATTCCACCAAGGAACAGTAGAGGACAATGTTGCAACAGGATTCTGAGCAATACCTTCATTTCCTTTGGAAAATAGAGTATGCATGATGCTCATAAATGCAAACCTCAAAAGCAATTCACACCTTTTTCTTGAAAATCTAAAGGAAGTTCCTGCAGCTCAATTTTTAAAGCAAACAATATTCATAAGTTCCCTGGAAAATAGAGCCTGCCTCAAGATAAAAAAGAGAAGTTCTAGAACTTTATCCAAAATTTACAAAATAATATAAACTTATTCGGAAATAAACAAACCATCAAGGAGGACAGAATGGAATTAAAAGCTACTGCATTTAGCAAAAAGAGTTCTTTTTAAAAAAAACAAAAAAAAAATTAAAAAAAATTGAAACTTGCAGTATGTAAAATAGAAATTCTTAAAAATAAGCTTTATCTGTTTCTTCATCATTGTACGTTCAGAAAAGGAAAGAAAAAGGATTATTTAAGAAACCCACATAAGCAACTAAGATTATCAGATAAAAAAAGTGGTGGTGGCAAAGGAAGAAACACTATACGAAGACCCACAAAAAAAAATCAGAATATGTAACCATCCACATGAGTTCTAAAGCATGAACCATGAATGGGCAAAAGAAGAAAAGAGAGAGAGAAAGTGAATATTCTTGAAAAAGAAGGGAGAAGAAGTAGAGTGTCATACCCAGAAGTAGTAGTTGTTGTAATACGTAGTAATAGTAGGAGGAGGAGGAGAATTAAGGCGTCTGTAATTGTACGGTCAAGAAGAGAAACCCCATTTGCTAGGAGCCATGTCGGTACAATTTCAAGCAGAAAGAGAGAGAAAGAGAAAGAGAGGAGAGAGACGGCAACAGGATGGTTTGTTTACAAGTGGAATGGAATGGAACTACACGGCACTGACCAATCAAATATACCCTTCATGCTACCACTTTGTTTTATGTGCTTTACATATTATTTTCTTCTTTGGCCATAAAAAAAATATTTTCACTTTTTTTTTGCGAAATTCGTGTTTGGCCATAAAATTTTTAGTTTTCGCTTGAAGATAGATTTTGAAATTTTTTAAAAATTTAAAAAATACCAAAAAACTATTTTCAAAATTTTTACTCAGATCACTCACAAAAATATAAAAACAACCCAAAATTATATCTATGTTCAAACATAACTCTAATTTTCAAATAATTTCACTTGAAAAAAAATCACTTTTTTTTCAGAATTTTACAATTCTTAGGTCCAAACATCCGCTTAATTATTAATCATCCAGCTCCCAAAAAAATAAGTTTGGTTCTTTTTTTGGGTTTTGTAGCATTGGTGTACGGATCTAACTTAGAGATAATTTTATCCATCAAGATTTAGATAAATAATAAAATCACCTGATATCTTTTATCTTTAATGAGATTTAAAATTTTTGATTTATCATAATTTCACTCATTTTATTGGTGATTGAACGTAGTGGTTGCAAAATGGATAAAAGAAAATAATTATTCACCCATATTATTCATTAAAACTAGATTGGATAATGAACTTTTAAAAAATGGGCCAAATATGGATAAGAACTATATAATCCACTTAGAAAATGGATAACTAATGGATTTAACTTTTTTATTTGTAAAGCTTCAAATTGGGAGTTTCTCAAGTTTAGGAGACTAGGAATTCTCCTAAAGGTGATCATATTCAATAAGCTATGGATAATATGAATATCTATTTTATCGTCGGTTAACTCATTTTTTATCTGTATTAAATATGGATCAGACCGAATAAGTTATCCGTTTTGACCTGTCCATATCCGACCCAATCCAACGTTTGCCACTCCTAGGAGGACGACACTCTTGTATTACTCTTTATATTTTTCCTAACTTTTTTTTGGGCCTAAAATAAGCTATGTAAGTTTGGAGCACTTACTATTACTTCCACTTCTCATTCTCAACTACAAAAAGTGGTGTGTATATTACTATATTTACAAAAAATGAAAGGTTGGATCACACTATCTTAAAAAGTTCGAAATTTTGTCAGCGCAATTTTTTATACAAATAAATATTACTTGTATCATATGCTTTTTGACACCTGTACCCTAGTCTAACATGTTCAAATCCTTTTGACATTATTAACTTTAGTTTGAAAAGAAAAAAGAAAAAGAGAAGGAAATCCACACAAGTGGATAGTACTTGGTACTTGTTAATGGATGGTAAAAGAATAAACCATGGAAATCTCGTAACTGTGTGGAGTTTAGTGGAGTACTCTTTTGTGACATAAATTATTATCTCAACTGTTTACAAAGCCAAGTGGAACATGCTGAGGGTGGAGGATGACTAGGGCTTTGGATGATTGAGCTCAATCTTTTAAGTATTTATCAAACAACTAATGCACAACTTTCCAGCAAGTGGGTTGCTATTATTAGTATTTTCTTCTTTTTAGGACGATAGAGGGAGTATATTTTTATTTAATTAGGTAAAAGGAAGGGAGACTTGTAGGTACGTGCAATCTATTGTATTTTTGTTGGATTTTTCAAGCTCATAATCATATCATAAATAACTATATTCACTAAAGAAGGACCAGTATAGAAGCTAGAAGTAGCTGGCTTATAGTAATCGGCTTTATAATATTTGTAGACATATTGGTGTGTTAGTTTCATCAATTGGAGTTTCTAGTTAGCAATGAAATAATTTATGGAAAAGTACTAAAGTGGACGATAAAAGTTCTGTTGCAGAAGTTACTTAAAAGCTAATGTGTATTAATTTTTGGATTGCACTTAATGAGAAGGAAGCTTTAGCTAGTAGCTAGATTACTATATGCGACTACCAAAAGATGTGGTGGGATGAATGAGATTCTTTTATTCTTAATCAAAGGTCTCGAGTTCGAGCCACGGATTGGGAGTAATAACTTCTTAATAGAAAGCGTCTTATCTCTTAGTGGGTCTATGGGTCGTGAATCAGGATTAGTCCTATAAGTAGAGCTCGGATACCAAATGGTTAAAGAAAAAATCTCCATATGTGATATGAGAAAGGGAAGAGAGTAAAAGGGTGGTATTTGTTAATTGTGAAGAGGAGGGTTGATAATGGTGCCACAAATAGGGCTGTGCATAATTTGGTAAATACCAAATTACCATATCGAAATCGAAAATTTTGGTATTTGGTATACGGTATTTTGGTATTTTGTATGGTATTTGGTTTAAGTTTTTAAAAAAATTAGTATTAGGTATGATATTTGGTATTTTAAAATAAAATACTCAAATACCGATACCGTACCGAAATATATATTATATTACATAAAATATATATTATCAACTATAACATAAATATAAAAAATCTAAAATTTTACTTTCCTTTATTCTCTAAGTTCATCAATTAACTCTAAAAAGTAACAAAACATTTCTAACGATCAAATATTCTTTTATGTACAATTTTCTCTATTTGGGTCGATATTTGCTAGTTTTGGACAAATTTTTTGTCAACAAACATTTTCGGTTTTGTATTTTTGAGTACTTTAATTAAGAATATTAGAGTCTATGGCTCAATGCACTAGTTAGTATTCAAACCGAATAAACCGAAGTTACCAAAACCGAATAAACCGAAACCGAACCATACCGAATTTAATTAGGTATTGGTATAGAATTTTAAGAAACCGAATACCAAAAATACCGAACCGAAATGTCTAAAAACCGTACCGTACCGACCGATGAACACCCCTAGCCACAAAGGATACCATGAGCTAGGAATGGTGAAAATTGTCCATGGTACTGGGAGCAGTTAAATAACATGGACCATAGTGAATTTGCAAAAGTAACGTTGAGTGAAGCAATTCACCAGACCACACTACAGGAAATCACGACAACAGTCGCTACTATAGCATAGAAAGCCACCGCAACATCCATTTAGTGGCGGCATTCGAGTCACTCCAAGTACTAAATTGAATGTTATTAAGTTCGAAAAATAATGGTTAATTAAGTTAACCAATCTAACTTAATTTTTTCAAAATTGTAGAGATATATAATATGCTACAGTCTCATGTTTATTGAATAAGAGTTCCGTAGAGTTTATATTAGGCAGAATAGCCTAGGAGATACTTGTACTTGTTCCGGTTTGTCATCCCGGTCCCTACACTCCATAAAGTTTCATCTAGACACTTCAACTTAATCAAAACAAGACATTTAAACCCTTCTGACTGTTGACCGATCTTATGTGGCATTGATATGGCTGAAGTAGACAAAATGAGTGACTTACACGCACATTAAGTGCGTGAGCTGATGATTTCTCTTTATTAAAAAAGTAAAATAAATAAATAAATAAATAAAAAATACTAACAGCTATTCTAGTGTGAAAGAGTTCGTTCTGCCCCCCCCCTCCAGATCGGCAGTTCTTCTTCGCATTCCCTCCCCCGTTCCTGCCCCCCCCCCCTTCTTCTTCAGCCCCTTCCCCTTCGTTCTGCCCCTCCCCCCTCCCTCCTTCTTCTTCAGTCTCTTCCCCTTCGTTCTGACACCCCCCCCCCCCTCTTCCTCGTCATCTTTCTTTAGATCCCCTCCCTTCCCCTTATTCTTCATCTTTCTTCATCCCTTCTTTCCCTTCTCTATGACTCCTCCATTATTTTTCCGGTGGTTTTAGCTTTTAAATTTTTTTATAGCCCTTTCAAATTGGGGTAGAGGAATAAGTCAAAATTCAAAAGACTTAATTCTCTGCTCATGTATTTTTTATGGATAGATAACTTTCTTTAAAAGAGGGGTGAAGGAAGTAGTGGTACTCATGGTGGAGGAGCCATGACAGGTGGATTATTCTTTTAAGAAGGTTGAGTGGGTGGGTTTGAAGAAGGGAGGAGGGGTTTTCTTTAATTTTAATTTTAATTTTTTGCTTTTTTATTTTATTTTTTGTTTATGAAATTAAGATTTTGTTAAACAATATTATTTTTGGCATAGAATATGATGTGGATGCTGAATTGTCATCCACATCAAGCAAGTGAGCATCACACGATTCCGGAGGTGTTTAAAAGTCTTGTTTTGATTAAGTTGAAGTATTTGGATGAAACTTTATGGAGTGTAGGGACCGGGATGACAAACCGGAACAAGTACAAGTGTCTTCCAGGCTATTCTGCCTTTATATTATTATACGCAAATCATTATATTACATTATAAGCGTTTAGACAATGTAGCATTTTTGCCGGTGATTTTTGCACTTCTCTTATCGCTTCGTATTCCTAGTTTCTTTTATCTTATTCCTTGCCATTGTTTTTTATTGTGTCCTTTTCACTGTTCTTGTGCCGAGGTTCAATCGGAAACAGTCTCTCTTCCTTCATAAGGTAGGAGTAAGGTCTGCGTACACGCAGACCCTGCGTGTGGGATTGCACTGAGTTTGTTATTGTTGTTGTTATATAAGCATAGCTAACAAAAGGACATGATCTTGCAATTTGAATACGATCTTATAAACAAATTTATATTTTTTTACAGGAGACTGTAAAAAAAAAAAAAAAAGATTATAACCAAAGTATTTGTAATGCACCATTAAATCATCTCCTTGTTCTAAAAGATGGAGAAATTGACGTTTTATTTTAAACAATACAGTATATATTAGTACGTGGAGAAGATATATTCAAGGATTGGTTGGCCTATTGAATATTCCAGAAATTATCCAGCAAAACAAGAGACTATCTGCTAACCAGGCCACATCCATTCCTGCATCGCTGGGATAACCATGAACTCTCCAAGAACTTAGCGATTGTGTTTTTGTTCTTTCTATTTTTTTGTTTTTCAATCTTCATTGTAAGAAAATATTCCAACTAAAGAAAGATAGTTGTTTTTCAAAACTTTATTACGATTGGTTTTTGTTATAAATGATGTCTTGGAGAACCAAGATCTTCCATTGTGTTTTAGGGTGTGTTTGGTACGAAATTTTCCAATTTTTT